TATGAAATTCTTACAGATTTAGATTTTGATAAGCTGCCTAATGTTTGTATAGTCTTGGATATAAGCGTCAACGTTCTTGAGGTCTGTGGATCCTAAAAAAGAGAGAAAAGAGCCATTGTATAACAGCAAGGCACAGGATGGAACCTACGGACACAGTACTCCAACTACTGCTTTTGCGGATGCTCCACTTGTGGCCGGTTCAGGAAATGAGTGGTCACAATGGAGGGGGGGGGATAATGAGTGGTGCGGGGACAAGGCCTGTGGACACCTGCATCCCTTCTGCTTCTGAATGCTCCTACAACAGGGGCAACTCTTCCAGCCCCCTCGTGGAAGCAGCTTACAGCTTGTGCCGTTTGTTAATTTGATGTGTTATACCTCAGAGCAACAGCTAAGGAAACAGTTATTCAATTGCTAGATTGAAGCTATTAACCTTTGGGGGAAGATTCAAAGAGGCAAATTTTCTGTGCAACTGGTCCAAGACTGTAGGGAGTCACCCCAAAATCAAACTTCATTTCCTTGGCGGGCCTTCAGCATGGCCAGAATAAAATATTATCTATTTATAAGTAACCATATAGGAATTTTATTTTAAGGCATTCTTCAACAACTAAAAACAATATCTCATGATAGAGAAACAGCTACTCATCCCACCTAGGTTGGGAAAGCTCTCTAGAGAATTGCCAAGGGCAAGTTTTGATCTGACCTTTTTGACTAAGATTACAGGTATAGGAAGGATTGTGTTACTTAACTTTGTAATGTGGCTATTATGGGGGTTTTCACCCCCAAACATAATCTGTCTGCCTCACAAGATAAGGCGCTTCTTAAACTTGGCTGGGGAGAGATTTGTAATGAGCCCTAGGAGGAGGGGTTCCATGAAAGTAAAAAAGGGTTGTGGAAATTCAAACATTTCTCCAGTGTTTCTGAAGACATGTTTTCGATTGTGACCTAAAATGTTTTACCGTTAAAATGGAATGGCTTCAGAAGTATTTCTATAAACATGCAAACACAAACATACAACACTGCTTCCTTGGAGATTTTACAAAATTAAAAAAAAATGGATTATGAATATTTTAAGAAATAAGTAACTCTTCCTACAAGTCAGCAGCCTCTGTGGTTCTTACTGATTTTCCATCCCTCGCTGCTCCTGATTATCAGCACCATCTGTCTTCCCCTTACCTATGGCTCTCAAGACAGCTCTACTCCACATTTCACCCCAAGCACCCACCTCACAACTTGAATACATGGCAGAAGTCATGTTGGGAGGCTGAAAGATATGTCTTGAAAACAAAACAAAACACAGCTGTGTCCACATTAGCTCAATAGTCACTGCCTGTCAGCTGAGAAGACTTCAGTATGCAGGAACACTATGGATTTCTGCCCCATAGACTGGATCAGTGTAACACACACTGCAGCTCATGAAGAGCAACATTGTATTTACCATCAAAGGAGCCACATTTACTCCCATCATTGGCATATGGCCTGCACCTCATGAAGGCTCACAGCTGACCTGTTCTTCTTGCAAAGGCTGTTTCAAGGTAGGAACCACCAGCCAATCACAAGTTCCACCATGCAAGGGCCTTGCCCACTTACCCTGCCTCATGTTTCAGGGAGCAGCACTGAGAAAGAGCCTCATGTGGCTCCCAAATGAGTATCACTGGATTAGATGCTAAAAGAGTGGATGACGGGAATGAATGAGTGGTAAGGCCTAGGGCTATGAGGAGACAACATCGGGGGCCACATGCAGATATGAATACCTTTATATTAGGCAAATGATACTTACTGGATGATGTGGTGTGAGTTGGAAGAGGTTTGGAGAAAGAATTGCAGGAGCAAAGAATCTCAGGAAAATAAAACTGCTTACAGCTGTGTACCTAACATCTGGGTCACCTGCAAATCAAAAAGGGAACACAAACTGCCAATCACAATTCCATTCTTAAGAAAAAAAATCACAACTATGAAAAGCAGAATGGGTCAGTGGCTTCATGAAGGCTCCCAGGTTTCCGGGGCATAGCAAACATAGGCCTATTATGCATGGACGGGTGTTTTCCCTCGCTTTCACTGTGCATGTCTGTTGGGTTTTCTTTGTCATTCTGCATTGATTTTAGTGCTCAGTTTGCTTTCTGGTCACTGTTTCCTCGGGTTTTCTGAGAGAGCTCTTGTGCCGATTTTTCCCTTGTTCGCTTCCAAGCTGAAGGTAATTTAAAAGCGTATTGATTCCTGATGAAGAGGCAGGAAGGGCATACTGCCCCTTCTCCCTCTTCACTATAGTCCAATGACCTGCATCGCCATGTGGCTCTCCATCAAGCTTCCTGGGGGGAGGGGAAAGCTGGGAACATCTGTGGCCATGAATGCCTTCCACTGATGGATCAATGGATCTAATTCATAGAGTACAATGTTTACCCCATCCTTCCAAATTAAAAGACATTTTACTGTCCTCTGCTCTACCCCCAGCCCTTCCCTTCTGAGATTACACTCATGAATTCAAAAGTCTGTTGTCATATAGATGCTGGATGGAAGAATATCTGCTGAGGGAAAATCAGCATGGCTTCTGCAAAGGAAAGTTCTGCTTTATCAGTTTATTGGAGTTCATTGTGCAGGTTATCAAGCATGTGGATAAGGGTGAACTGGCAGACACCATATCCAAAGACTCCTGAATATGTTCAGCAGTCATGGGATAAGAGGATGAGTTCTCTTACAGAGTTCAAAAGTTGGTTAAATTGCAGGAAGCAAACAGTAGGAATAAATGGACAGTTCTCTCAATGAAGGGAAGTGAGCAGTAGGGTCCCACAAAGATTGGTATTGGGACAAGTGCTATTTAATTCGTTCATAAATGATTCGGAATAGTGGGAGAGCCGTGTAGTAGTCATATTTGCAGATGATACCAAATTATTCAGGATGGTAAAAACCAAGGCGGATTGCAAAGAGCAACGGGAGGATCTCTCCAAATCTGGTGAGTAGGCAACAATGTGGCAAATGAAGTTCAACATGGGTAAATGGAAAGTGCTTTGGCATACTGGAACAAATAATCCTAAAGTTAAATATATGTTCATGGGGTCTGAACCGGCTGAAACCTAGACTGAAAGAGATCTTGGGGTTGTAGTGGAAAGCTTGACGAAAATGTTGTGCAGCAGCAATGAAAAAGGCAACCTCCATGCTAGGTAAAGGATTGAAAATATAACACCCAGTATTGTAATGCCTTGGTACAAAGTTATGGTGCAGCGTCATTTTGAATACTGTTTGCCACCTTGGTCACTATATCTCAAAAACTACATTGTAGAGCTGAAAAAAGTACCGAGGAGGGCAACCAAGATGGTCAGAGGGCTCCTGCATGAGGTAAAGCTGGAGAGACTGGGCTGTTTCAGTCTAGGAAAAAACATGACCAAGAGAAGACATGATAGAGATTTACAAAATTATGCAAGGGGTGGAGAGAGTTGATACTATAACACAGGGCACCTAATATAGTTGCTGGGAAATAGGTTCAGGACAGGCCACATGAAATACTTCTTTACTCAGCAAGTAATTAAAACTGGGATTCACTGCCCGTGGTGCTCATCTCCGTTTCAAAGCCGAAGAGCCAGCGCTGTCCGAAGACGTTTCCGTGGTCATGTGGCCGGCATGACTAAACACCAAGGTGCACGGAACACTGTTACCTTCCCACTGAAGTGGTACCTATTTATCTACTTGCAATTTCTTGCTTTCGAACTGCTAGGTTGGCAGGAGCTGGAACTAGAGACGGGCATACTCGGATCTTGGACTGCTGAACTACCGACCTTCCACAGTCTGCAGTTCAGCGTCTTAACCACTTGAGCCACCGCAGCTCCCTGCCAGGAGCATAGAGCACTGTAAAAGGGGGTTAGACAGACTGATGGAGGAGAGGTCCATCAATGGGTACTAGCCATGGTTACTGAAAGGGAGCCTCTATCTACAGAGGCAGCAAAACTCTGTCCAGTGCTAGGAGGCAGCAGCAGGAGAGGGCTCAGCCTCTATGCCCTGTTTGTTTGGCCCTCTGGGGCCACTGGTTGGCTGCTGTGTGAAATGGTATGCAGACCACTGCTGTGATTCATCAGCTGTTTTTCACATTTTTTTTTTAAATGGCCTTGTTGATTCAACACACATGTCCATTCGGGCCTTGATGTTATTTTTTTCCAGTTTTATGAATGTTGAGTTTTCAAACAATATAGACTTCAAGAATGTCAAAGCTTGGCAAATGCCTCAAAGTGGTATCAGCACAATGCAAGGCAGATCAGAAATATAATATATATCGCACATACAAGTACAGCAGGAAAACACAATGAGGTATTTTAGCTTCTACAATTGCAAGGCATTATATGGACAGACGCTTTCTAAATTTCTGCTTCACATAACAACACACCTTGGAAACGTTTTGCAGCTGACTCCCTCAGTGAAAAAAAGATATCACACATCACTGTAGGACAACTGACCCCAGATTTCGTAATGACAGTGAAAATCCGGTCTACATATTGCCGCAGATTTTCCTAAAGGGACAAAAAAATATACAGTTAAAAACAATTATGCCGAGGTAATGCCATGCAGTTAAAGGAAAGACTAGTATTTTATGGCTCTGTACATTAATCAAGAGTATTTGGACCAGGGTTGCTAGATCATATTTTAGTGGTTTTTTGAAGCCCTAAGCATCAGAGTTATCACTAAAAATATAAAAGTATAATGAAAGAAGTTCCAAAGACCCACAAATGCTGTATGTTGATGTTTTTTGACTGCCACTCCATGACAAAAGCAACAGTGTGCCGTGGACCAGCTGGGGAGAGCACTAAATAATGAGAGGTAGACCTGGCCTCTGAAGTTTGGAGGCCATGTCTACCACTCATTGAAACTAACGATCCTTTAAAGGGCTGATGCACCACCAACCAGCTGCCTTCCCAGGCAGTAGGAGTGGCAAGGGAGAGGGAAAGCAAACAAGCAAGAATGCAAGCAACTAAACAAGCAAGCTCCTAGCTGGGCTATGTTGTTGCTGCAGCCTTTAAAAACTTCTTAAACTTTAAAAACCACTGCAGTGGGCCTCATCAGCATCAATGGTTGGTAGACCTGACATCACCAGGTCTGCCACCCATCAAGTCCAGTGGGCAGTAAACCTGGCTTTTGGAGGCCACAGTGGATTTTAAAGTTTACAGGGGATTTAAGAGGATTTCACAGTCAAGCTGGAGAGCTTTCTCTGTCTCAATTTCCCCACTCCATTGCCTACTGGTCAGTGCCACAATGGCACTTTAAACCTAAAAAGGCCATTATTTTCAATGGCGGTACCCCCCCCCCCAGAGTTTAAAGGTCAGATGCACTGTGGACCACCAGAGGGCTGGGGTGTGTTTCCTGGCTCTCCCTCCTTCCCCACTCTTGGTGCCTCTGCTACAAGGAGGGATTTCAAAAATTACTGTTCTAATTTTCTTTTGTAAGTTCAGAAGGAGCATGATTGTTTTTACTGAACTGAAAGTATTCCTCTGATGAGTCATTGAAACTGAAATTTCCCCCAGTTCTACTGCATGGAATGACAATACTCATGATATTTAATTAAAATGATAACCATGCCTGACTTTCTGATGTGGAATTAAAACAATATTTTTTTGAAGTGCCCACTCCTGGCTAGAGATATTCAAAATCAATTTCAGATATATTAAAGGGGGGGGAGGGGATCAGCTGTTCAAAAAAATAAGCTTTTAAAGAAATCTTACTGGATGTCAAAAGATTTGGGGGACAGGTAACAAATATTTGGACCCTGGCCATAAGGAAGTAGTAAAACTGAATTCTTTTTTTTTTTTTTTAACATTATTACCTTTTATGCACATTTCTACATGGAAACATGGGATAATTCTTTTGAAAATCTGATAGAGTTATGTTAATTAAAAAGATGTTCAATACATTTTCCTTCTTTGCTTAGTTTAAAATAGACTTCTGCAGGACCTGCCATGCTTAACAATAAAACAAAATGATTAGGATTTGCTACTGCGCTGGCAGCTGTTCCAATATTTACTCAGGTTCCTGATTCCAGCAGTATTCTGAAAGCAAACAGCAAACAGCAAGGAAGTTTTATACAAGTGCAGGATAACTAGTTTTTCCAGCAAGGCATCTTCTGAACGATCACAGCTTTGCCTTTGCGATACTGAACTTCCGGTTAATCCTTCCTCACTATGCCCCCATTCCTCTATTATCCCCAACCCAAATCCTCCCCCCCAGATGTGCTATGCATCTTGCATATGCCCTGAATATTTATTGCAAGCCATTGCTGAATTCAAGCATAGGCAAACACACATCCATGCTAGGACAGTATTACACTTCCCCAAATTCCTAAAGCACTCTCAGGTAGGAAACACCCAATTGTATAATGCTACGTGCAACCATCCTTTATGCACGGGGGTACACATGTTTATTTTTTTGCCAACTCTTTATGTGCTGAGAAGCCACAGCAAATCACAGCTTTTAAGCATGTACATGTTGCAAAATACCCATGTACAATTATTGGACACGTCAATCTACATTTGTGGAGGAATTTGTCAATGTGTAACCTGTATTAGCCTGCAATATCTACCCGGGCTGCATATGAGACATTGGTATGAATGGCATGTTATGGGTGACAGTTCACTGCTGCAGACATGGAAAAAGAGCATCCAGCGCTGCTTGTGCCAGCTGTAAAAATCATTGCTCATGACTGCATCCAGCACACAACCGCGGCTACGTTCATGTCTAACAGCGGTAATTGCAATAGGTAGGTAAAAGAGTGGCTTTCAGCCGCAAACTAAACTGCTGACCTACCCTGTTAGTTTCCAAGTTTTCAGCATCTTTCAACTTCACAGGATCAATTTCACATGGTTTATGTACCTGGCAGATCTAAAATAAATAAATAAAATCATTCCAAGCTTTAGGTGTGACTTGTTCTGTAAGGCTTGGATCTAATTTCTCATGCAAAGAATCTGGAATCAGCTCTTTGTGTTGAATTGAATGAGTCTTGTTCGCTTTTGGCAAGATCACATTGAGTTTTCTTAGCTCCAGCAAAGACATAACACTGGCTCCCTACAAAGCATGACTTTCAAACCGGGAACAAGCTTCGGGAACATCTGTTTCCTCCCTCTCCCTCCTTCCCTCGCCTGTGCAAATTCCCCCCTCCCTTCCATTTTAACTGCTGTTTCATAATGCAACTGCACCGACATCAACCTCTTAACTAGAGTTTGCAAACACAATACAAACCATTGTTTCAAATGCAGGTTAAGATGGGAACTCTGATCATCGTTAATCATGGTTAGCATCGCTTAAAGATACACCACTAAACCATGGTTAGGGCAGACAAGGGAAAGGAGGGGGGCAATTCAGGCTGGAGAGGAGATGTGCATGAACTGCTCCTCCTTACCCTTGGCTGTGCATATTTCCAAGGCAGGTTCCTGATCTGAACATCAGGCTTCGGAGGGACCCAACATTACACTACCCTGACCCGGATAGCCCAGCTAGCCCAATCTCATCAGATCTCGGAAGCTAAGCAGGGTCATTCCTGGTTAATATCTGGATAGGCGACTACCAAGGAATACCAGGGCCAGGATGCAGAGCCAGGCAATAGCAAACCACTTCTGAATACACTGGCACATGTCTTCAATGAAAAGTTTTAGACATTCCTCCTGTGTTACTGATTTTGCTTTAAGCCCCCTACCAAGTGAACATTTAAGGAAACATTTTTATATCACTGCTTTTGTTTCATAAAAGAACAAAAGAATATCGTTGCAGAACTATTTTTACACAAAAAGAAATATAGATTCCTGGTGAGCTATGTCATTAACCGCGGAGTTAGGAAAGCGCTGCATCAATTCAAGGAAATGTGTGGTCCGCTTATTTGTGACACTGGCAAAAGGGATAGGCTGACTGCACTGCAGAGATAATGAAATATTGCCACATTTTAAGCAAGAAGAAGTACAACCATCTAAAAATAATCACACATTTAAAATTGCTGGTTGCTTCTTTCATACGTTTGCATGTCTTCAAATGCTTCCCTGAAATGAAAATGCTTGTTTTTGTAATAAAAGACATAGCTCTGCATGCAACTTAAAATGTTTAATTTTGTATTAACTCTTTGGCATTCAAATGAAATTTCAAAGGTACAGAATCATGTTTATTTCCCCCCTTTTAAATGATCTGGCTAGTTTTCCAGCCCATTGTAAGCTACAGACTCTTTGGACTGGAAGCGACCAAGATACCATCCTGGTTTTTCTCTTATGTAATCAAATCTAAAAA